AATTCCAGTTCCTGAAGGAAGGTATCCTGTGACTTTTGCATGTGTCTTTGGTTCAACACACCTAAATCAAGAACTTAAAGTATTCAGAGAACTCTTGACTGCCGACTGCAAACTGAGGTAATTCAACCATTTGGTTTAGGTGTGTTGGATCAAAAACAAACAAACAAAAAAAAATGCTGGACAATGGCCCTTTAGGAAATGTGGTTTGATTCAGTTTAATTCAGTTCAGCTTAGTTTAAATCAATGCAATTCAATTCCTTTCCATTTTATTCAGCTTAGCTTAGTTCATTTCCATTCAGATTATTTCAATTTCAAGTTTATCTATCCAAGGAAAACCAATTGCATTTACTCAGTGACTTTATTGTAATCCCTCACACCAAGAATGCATTCAGCGACAGTGTAGACAGAAAGAAACCTCCAGCAGAAGAAGGCTCAGCATAAGCGGCCTTCTGCTGAGGCTGACTTGGGATCAAGCAGACAGAAACAGACATAGAAAAAGATGCAGATATGCCGCAATCTAGAAAAGAAACATCCATGAAGACAAGTTCACAGCCAGTTCTCATGTTAGAGAGAACTGGCTAATTTAACAGTAGGCCAACACAGATTGGAAGGCTGATGCATTCTAGCCCCACGATATACATCCTTGTCAAACATATAAAATATCAAAGTCATCATTAGTATAGACCCAGCTCCCAATTCAACTGTGAGGATAGACTAACTGTGCTATGTTATATATTGCCCGATAAGAGTTTGACGATAACGCAGCTAGTAAAGAGCATAAAAATGGTCTCAGAAAGTTATAAAACAATTTTTAAAGATCTGTATTAACATTCTTTAGTGAGATAAGGATAGAAATAAGTAATTTCAGTACCGTAATTACATTATTTATGAAAACCTGGATGTACATCTGGTTGCGCATGCGCAAATAAGCTGATGGTACGGTTCATGCTTTTGGGACGGATCGGGTAGTGACAAATGCAGCCTTGTTTTTGCCCGTTTTGGAGGACACGTCCGGTGAATCCTACGTAGCCTCAGGTATTCCATGATTCATTGTGAGTCCAAGCAAGCCAGCTGCTCCATGCACAGCGAAAAAAGGAAAATAGTTCCGGTGAGTTCAATATTGGAAGTGCAGTTTAATATAATACAAGTATGTGAATAGTTCTGTCTCAAGTTAATGAAAATTGTTGTTTTAAATGGTTAATGAGTCAGATATGTGGCAGGTGATTTTTGATTTATTGAAAAGTTTCAATCTGTGTCTGTGAAAATGAGTGTGGCTGACATGTAAGCACAGATTCTAATATCCCTGCAGTGTGAGGTACTATAAATATGATATTCGTAATGATGATACTGCTGCTTAAGCTCCTCAACAGTGTTATTAGCACCAGACCATTCGCAAGAAATGTGGTATCCATTCTTTTACTGCTTTGTGTGTCATCTGTTACGGTTTCTATGTGGCAGAGGTTTTGGGCAGTGACAGCTGAAGAAGGCTGTACCTGATTGAATCCATAGCCAAACTCTTTTTCCCTACTTATTTTCATGGACCTCAAAGGATCCAGTCAAGGTAGACTGGGTCCTTGGAGGATGCA